TTGGTAGGCAGACTTTTTTTCTGTTTCCTGGGTATAACTCCATGTTTAATGGACAGATATGACAGTGGAATTGTTCCTCTTAGCTGACTCAGTTCAATAAGGAGAGACTCGTTTATAAAGAATATTTATAACGTGTACATAGGAATGAAAAATGTGAAAAGTCTTTGGCGATTAGACCCCATTGAAATGGTATGATTTAAGGAGGGTGATGAATCCATAGTCGAACAGAATACCCCCCTGGGGTCTGGACACTGGTGGTGGTAGAGGTGTAAGATGGGAAGAAGTGCTGATGATCTGGATGAGTAGAGGAATGAGCCTTTGTTGAGCTCGTCCTGGACTCTGGACATGATGGCTGAAGGTGGACGAGGTGGAGGAGGGCACGCAAATTCTGCCTAAAATGATGACAGCAGCAGAGGAAAAAGCAGATTTAAAATTTTGCATATGACATCCTGATTGGCTGATAGAGACTGTGGCAAAGTTTGATTGGATGACTAGAAGAGTGAACAGCTATAGTCAGCTGATTAGAGGAAGCAGTGGGAGCACAAAGAAAGTCTTCCTGATTGAACTTACGCTGAGCTTCAGGTGTATTTCCCAAAATGGTGAACTATTCATTTAAAGGCGCTGTATGTAAGAATGTGGCCAAAACGGTTACTGCACTCAAATTCAAAATACTGCCGCGAGTCGTGTCCGCCCCCCCCCTTCCCTACAGATTCGAGGTTGCTGGACAGCGGCACGCTGGAGACTGATTTGTTTGCCCACGGGCGGCTGCCGTGGCAGGGCCGCATCGCCAAGTCCTTGATCTTCCGTTTCCAGCGGACTGTTCGAGCAAGTCCGGCTTCTCTGCTGCTAATGCTGCTGCCGGGATACAGCTGAGGAGCCGGCTGCTAATGCTATATACTGGGACACTGCTAATGCTGCTTGCAGTGCTGCTGTAGCTCAGTCGTAACTGTAACTGATGCTGAGACTCTACTGACTGCGTGACTGGTAGACGGCGGTGGGTGGCACAACAGGCCAAAACACAAATTCAAAACATAAACATGATTTGCAGACTGCAAAAAAAATTTTTAGATGCGAATATTCTGGCTATACTATTGTTGTCGGTGAGATCAGTATGTTATATGAACATTATTCCTTAGTCTCTGTGACATATTAGGAGGATTTTACAACTATTTGCTTTAGATTTCTTACATATAGCTCCTTTAAGCATTTTTAGAGGCCTTAATTTCCAGTATTTACCCACTTTTATTTCAACAACTTTTAGGGACCTCAAAGGTTTATATTAGTGCTGAGCAATGTATCGTCATTATATCGATATTGTGATTAGAATCTAAATGCCGTTTAAGATTTTACATGTATTGTAAGTGTTTTCTTGTCCTGGTTTCAAAGGCTGTGTTACAGTAAAGTGATGTCATTTCCTGAACTCACCAGACTGTTCCAGCTGTTCCATGATTTGCCTTTACACTTAGTCATTAAACCCTCATTACTGATAATTATGTTTAAAAAATGTCAATGTGTAAACATTTTGTGGAAGCACCAAGAGTCAACCCTAACAGCACATTCTCATTCCGACCTAGTCACATATGGACGTTTGGTCATGGACCTTTCCATGTTACAACACTGTGATGATGATGTCTTTTTTCCCTCAACAACAAATACACATGGATATGTTTTCCCAACATACACATGGATGGATGGATTTAGGCAACAAAAGCATGTGGTTGGGTTTAGGAAAAAAGAATAGGGTTTGGCTTTACCATCCTACGGGAAGCGAACACCGGCCTCCCAGCTGAAAGTCAGTGGTTGTTGGACCCATCCACCACACCTCTCACCTGCCCTAATCAGCCTTTACCGCCTTAACTTTCATTCTTGTGCCATTGTGTTTCCCCGCCAATGCCTGGCACCGTTACACTATAATGGCAACCAAAAGTGCTACATCATAGGCAACTGGACTTGCTTGAGTTCCTTGAAGACGTTTCGCCTCTCATCCAAGAGGCTTCATCAGGTCTTCACCGATATAATGGTGACTGGCCATGCCAATATGAAAGGATGGCTTTTTTGAAGTCACTGCCCAAGCACCAGATTTCGACAACTTCAAAGTGAGACTGGGTTGACCCTAAAATATCATCACAATATCGAGGTATTTGGTTAAAAATGTTGAAATGTTTGATTTTTTTCCATATCCCTGAGCCCTAGTTTAATTTATCCTATGTTTGACAAAAAAGAGATAACATCTGAGAAAAGTAATAAAAAAGCTCAATAATTTGCAACATACCCCATATGTGCATTCGTCCATGTGTTCATGCATACACACACACACACAACCTCACAAACACTTGTAACTTGTGAAATGATGCCTCCCTACAACAGTGGGCTAATGAATTGTGAAAGGGGACGTGGCAAATTGGTGTGTGTGTTTGTCTGTGTGTGTGTGTGTGTGTGTGTGTTTTGGTCATGCGATTTGAATCCATTAAAACTTCATGCACGTTTTTGTTACAGGCCACTCCCACTGCCCAAACCCTTCTGGCAAATTGGCATTTAAACACACACCTTGAACACGCACATGACAGCGATGCCAAAATTCAAGGCGCCAAGGGATGAAGAAATTTTTGTGGGTCGACAGAGCAAGCTAAAGCTGCTGGTTGCAACTATAAAATCTGGTACAACTCTCTGTAGCTGATTTTTTTTATGTCTCTTTATCTCTTCTATCTTGCGATCACTTGGGAGGTCCCATCACTGAGGCTGGAAACCACTGATCAAAATCAGACATGGAATATTATCAGTAAATGAAAGCGGGCCCAGTGAAAACCCTAAAATAATAGGCATACAATGAGCTAAATATCAGAATAGCTAGAAGAGACTTGGACTCTGTAATCAGACATTACTCTCTGAGTTCGTTCAGATGTTACTGTGGGTGATGGTGTGGGGGACTGAATGTGTGGGTCTGGACAGTCAGTGGCGAAGCTCCCACAGGGCAGTGAGGAAAAACACTTACTGGGGTCATTGTAATGCTGTGTCACTGTTTCCTTGAACAGCTACTCTGAGAATATTCTCTCCAGTTCCCCCTTTAGGCTACAGCAGCTGGCAGAGCAGTCGTCATAATGACCTGTGAACCCCCAGTGGAGGAAGACTCTCCGTGACTCAGCTCCCAGAGGTGTCTGTGTATGTCAGGGAGAGAAGAAATAGAGCCTGCTGTTCCGGGAAAGACCAAAAAAAATAAAAAACAGAAAATATGTGTCAGCACCGGCTATGTTTTCATCCACTCCTTTCTTTCGCTGACAGGAAATTGGTCCGAAGAATACATCATTGTTGAGATTTATAGATAACAAAAGCTGCTTGAAAAAGAAGAAAACTAAATGTTCCATCCAAGTGGTATTTCAGAGTCATAGAGTAATTACAAAAACCCAATTTAATTACGGCAGGATTCCCACGTTTCAATATGACCACAAATACTCTGGGTTTACAATCATGAATTCTTTCACTGACCTAAAAAGGGATGGAAAACTGTATTTTTTGTATCATGACCCACCAGAAACTTCAGCACTATTTTCTTTCATATAATTAAGTATGTCATATAGTTAAATATGAATTTGTTGTTATACCAATTTGGTTACGATTTGGGTCAGTTGTTGACATTGTGGTATAGCCTAGCATAGATTGAGGTTAGGATAAATTAGTAGATTTGATTGAAAAAAAAAAATCAGCTGAAGCAGACTTTCCTTCAAATGTAGTTCAAAGTTAAGAATAAAAGCTATTAGGTGTTTCATTTCATAAGATGACATATTTTGGGGGTCAAGAATGAACTTTCCAATTTTATTTAAGGTCACAATAACTTTTTGTTTTATTACTGTGGTATGTGTAAATATAGTATACAAGTTTAAATAAGCTACTGTATAAATGTAAAAGGTATACTCTTCAAATGCAGAGTAAAAGGCAGGTTGAAGTTTTAACAAAAGGTGAGCTTTAATGCAGCTGATAAAAAACGTCCAGATAAAGCAGGTAACTGAAAGACCAAATGAAAGCAGAGCAAAAACTAAACTGAAAACCAACCAGGAAAATATGATGAACTCCAAAATCCAAACAGAACACCAGGCAGGAAACGCAGAAGAGAATGACACCAAAAACAAGGGGATGAATGCAGGATGAACTGACAAAAAACCTAAAAAGAAACACAAAGATATACAAAGAAAACTAATCACAAGAAGGACGACACGAGCAAAAGGAGGGAAATGGAGTGTGGCTTATAACAAGGCTGTGGAGGGGAACACTAGGGTAACAGACAGGTAGACTAATACGGAACAGGTGTGAACGGAAGACTCCAGGAACAGGGAAGGACTAATGAGAGACAGGTGTGACAGAAAACAGGCGGGAAAACACACAAAGACAGGAAGTAAAACCAGACACGACACATGAGGAGAAAATCTACAAAATAAAACAGGAAACAGATTAAACATGAATGAATAACATGAAACAAGGAACACAAACAGAAAACTCCAAAACAAAGTCCATAGGATAACAGAATATAAACACTAGTAATAAAGTAGAGGCTGACTGACGGGCCATATAATGCATTATGAATACCTGTACTCGCCTATAAATGAAGTGTACTGATGCATCTATAATAATGCATGCTTCACCACAATGTTTCATTGTCGGTGCTGAGTAGAGTGTGATGAATTTTCATGCATTTAAAAGTATCTCTGCTGCTTCATAAGTGATTAATGCCTAGCACATACTAGGATACTTTGAAAATACTTTGGAAATCATTTTAAAAGACTAAAGTCTGACACCCTCTCACATCTAAAGATGTGTCGTGAGTCAGAGAGTTTTTAGTCACAGAATAAGATTTTGCAAAGACTTGGGATCTTGCAAAGTCCAAGTCCAAGAGTTTTTCTCCTCATTGGATTAAACTGTTTAAATTTGCATTTTGCCTCATTTCTCTTGGACTGTGGGAAAGAAGGAAAAAGTGCAGTTGTAATGTGGAAAGGAGTGCCTCTTTGACACGTTCTCACATTTATGCAATGGCAGAGTGGAGAAGGAAAGGAGTCAACAGAAATTGTTGCAGCCTGGTTAACTAGTGGGCTATATATTTACAATCTTTACATTTAAACAAACAGGATGAAGGAAATCGAAGGCCTTAAAACCATTCAAGCTCTGGCACAGCGCCACGCAGAGATCCTGAGGACCAAACTCCACAAAGTGTGTTTGGTCCTGATTGAGCAGGTATCGTACACACTTTCCTCTTGGTATCTGTATTTCCCTGATTTTGTTTCATGCATTTTACCACCATCTGTCTTTGAGTGTGCATGCTGCAGTCTTGACTGATGGTGTTTATTCTTATGATACAGGTGAAAAACCTGGGCTCTGCAGTGGCCTGTTCAGCCATGAACACCGTGGCTGAGCTTTATGGTCACCTCCAGAGGGCCATAGACCTGGAGGTGGAGGGAACAGGCCAGGCCTTGCTGCTGAAACTGGCATCAAACAACTTTATTCAGCAGCAGGCCAACCTTGCACTGGATGCAATAGTGGCAAACTGCAGCCATGGTCACATCCTGAGTGCTCTGCTCAACACAAGGCTGAGGTAAGAGGAGAAGGAATGCTTAATTCATTTTATCACCACAAACATAAAAGATATGAACTACGATAATGAAACATAATCACTTAATTTATTTGTCTCATATGTCTTTGTCCCTCCTCAGCCACCATTGTGCTGCAGTAGAGCCAGCATGGCACAACACCTACACCAGCTGGCTGACTGCCTCAGAGCAGCACACGTCCTCGCAGCAGGAAGGACATTCACCGAACGTTTCCTTCTTGCTGTCTCAAAGATGTGCGTAGATGGCGCACCAGAAGTGAGGCAAGTTATCAGCTTCTATAGATTTAATGTAACATTTTGCACAGTCTTGTGATTTGTGGCTGGTTTTTCTTTGTTGAGTGTTTGTCACAGTCTTTATTTTATTTTCCTGAACCTTAAGCTAAATAAACGTATTCCTCCACAGGCACCACGGACAAATAGTCCTCCTGGACCTGGCCCACCAGAGGGACTTCCTGAAATGCATTAATAATTTTTATTTTGTTGTATTTTAATATTTACTGTTACTAATGTTTTATCAACACATTTACTGTTCACTGTTTTTGTAAAATGCTTCTTGAGTTCAAATGAACTCACAATCTGTCCTCAGAGAGGGATCCATCCTCTGCTGCTCTTTCTCCATTTTTCCTGCCTTAAACCCTGCACTTTACTTTTTAATTGAAGTGGTTTTACCAGAATCTCATTTATCGATACTATTTGTAAGTGAACCTCACGAAGAAATCCTCAAAAAATAACTTTGTACGTCAAGTTTTTGTCAAACAAAGTTCATGTCTGTTGAAACACAAATCAATTTGACACATTGTGCACAGAAACTGAATTTAGCCTATATGGTCACATCTATGCAGAAAGTGCACTATTACTGTGATATTGCAAAAATGTTTGTAAAATAAATACACTTACCCATTTATCAAACAGATCACTATTATTTCAGTATTCCTCCTCCTCAGTGGAATCAAATCCATCAGGCTCTGAAGCTTCATCCTCATCACTGCTCTGCCAAATCGCTGCAAACACTTCAGTGACTGTGATTGTCTTCTTGGCCATTTTGCAGCCTCTCCGATTTCAAGTGGATGAAAACTGTGATGATGGGTAGGTTTTTAGTGATTCCCTGAGTGTCCATTGGTTAGTTTCACACAATATGATGACTGAATCTAACAGTTACACACCGTGAGGGGAAGATGACGTGTGTCAACTCTCTTCGCTCGCTGCGTCAGTTACCATCTCACGAGAAGTGTCAACAGAGTCCGTCAACATTTGAACCATATTTCTGCACTGTGTTATTGCAAAGATGTTCATAGAAACATGGATGAATTACTGAAAGGTCCTAGGCCCAGGGGTCCTACGTTTCAGGAGGCCTCCAGGCCTTTACTTTCACTGTGTCATCCAAATTACCACATATTGAGCAGAGAGACTCAAAATGACCACACAGAGTTGCAAAGGAACTGCAAAGAGACACAAAATATCTACAAAAACAAACAACCAAAGTGAGACACAAAATGACTACACAGTGACACAAAATGACCGAAAAGACATAAAAATGCTCAATTTCCACCAAACACTTTCAGTATGGTACCTTTGGAACCACAAGTAACCCTTCAGACATGGTACCTAGACCCTAGTGTTTCCACCGCAAACAGTACCCTTAAATGTGGGCGGGGTTGCTGTCACTCACTGCTCTGTCCAACACTGACTGTATTTCCACATTACCAGTGACATAGATGGAAGTCTACGACTTGTTTATGGGGTTGCATGTCAACATTTTCAGAGCAAAATAAAACAGGCTGCAGTGAGAGTCTCTCTCCGTGGGATATTTTGAAAAAAGCAGGGTTGTGCATTTAGTCCTTCTCAGGCAAGCTCAGCGGTTTAATGTTGCCGGAGTCCACAGGAACAACGCTCTGCAAAACTTTTTTTTTTTTTTTTTTTTTTTTCAGAGTGAGGACTGGGTAATATGCAGTTCACATCACCCAACCAAAATTCATTTATATAAATGCTTGAAGATCAACTTAAAAAAAAGTGTATGTCATATAAACTACAGTAATGGTCAAAGTTGTTCAAGTGAAAGGTGCTGTGTTGATTGATTCATATCGTCAACTTATGCATTGAGTAACATTACAAGTTAATGTTTCACCTTAAAAGGCGCCAGCAGTCTGCCCAGTGAATTAAGTTATCTTTTACTCCGACCCCAGCTGCTACAAGAGGCAGCAAAACACCCTTTCATTTTATAGTTACAGTCTACTATTAAAACATGTTATGAGCAGTGGTTGCATGAGCCACAAAACCAGCCACAACTCAGCCCTGAGCAGAGTGACTGTCCGCTATTGACCAGTCAACGGACTGCAGTGTTCACAGCTCCACCTTTTAGTACCAGATCTGTGTGCTAGGTACCCCAACAGAGGGGGGACCAAAAATGGGAACAGTAAGGAATGGTTCCATCGGTACCGTCCACAACTTTCACAGTGGAAATGGGAAAAAAATGTTCTGAACTGAACTGTACCATGCTGCTCGGCTAAAATTACCTCAACAAGACACCAAATTACCTTCAAGAGACACAAACAACTACAAAAAGACACAAATTGACCACAAAGAAATGCAAAACCACCACAAAATCTGTGTGTCTTGCCCCTCAGTAGGAGAGGTGGTGGGGTCCTTTGCAAAACTGTGTCCATTGTCTCATAATCCGCCTATAAATAGAAACATCCCATTACTGCATGTATATGCATGGGAGCATCTGTCGACCTCAATTGGTTAATGTACTTGGGTTGGATCAACTTAACTTATTAGGTGTGATTTAACTTATTTACCAGGGTTGGCTCCAACTTATTTAAGTGATAACACAGTGTCAGATCTGGTGACTGTCTACAACTGTTTTACAAGTTGACCTGAGAGTTTCTGCTGTTTATAAACCTGGCAATGAGCCAAAAATCTTAAAGTTAGCCAGAGGAAAGGCCACAGGGTCATTAAACACTCAAGAGTTTATCCCCTGTGGAAGTGACCTGGAGAAGACTTTCAGAGCTGGAGGATGGGGCTATGGAGAAGGATGAACAGGCTACCATGCTTAGCCTGCAGCCTACGTGACTCAGACCTCGGATAAGTGTCATAAAATGGATGGATTGTTGGTGCTACAGGAAAGGTCAGGAGGTCACTAAAACGAGGATTTCTCCTTTGGGAGACCTACAAAACCTACTGTGATTTTCAAGCCATTGAATTTTGTAATGAACCAAATCAGTTAAGGGGGAAACTGGACTGTGGTGCAAGAAGAGACATTAGGGGAATCTCCAGATCATTAGAATATCTTCTGGGGACCATGAATTATTCACACCCGATTTCATGGGTCATCTGACTTTGGACCTAGGTGTTGGATAGACCTATTTACTAGCCAACAATGTCATCCTTAGGCTGAGTCACTAGTTTGTCAAAAGGGATAGGGGTTAAGGGCAAATTTTCCAAGGTTGTGTCTGAAATTTGAGTTTCATTTGGTGTTTAAGTCCATAGATTCTACAGAAGCTGAGTCAAATTTAACTGTCACTCGTTTCAACCGGCTCAGGAAAGGGAGTCTTGACACCATGACAGACTGGAGAACTGGTTTATTGTGATTCAAGCTGAGAAGGCGGCAGCTCCTATCCTCAAAAATGACACCAGAATATTTGACTTAAGGCTTCACGTTGCGTCTACAGGACTGAGAAAACAGGCCTAATTCCATCCATACTGCTGCAGTTAACAAGTAGTGAAAAGCCAGCAGAGTAAAACTATACGGGCGCTGCAGCCGTTCCATGTCCCTGGCTGGTCATTTGGAGGCATTTTACAGCTTCACACTGAAGTCATTGTCAAACGTCTCGGTGGAACATGTTAGTTTAAGGTTAGAGAACATGTAGTACATCATGACTTGGTGTTTCCATCACAGCCTTTAAAATTGTCACCATGGTGAACTGTGGCAACAGCAGGTTGTATTTTAATGATGACAAAATACTTGGAAGAAGTTTATCTGTGTGTTATTACCATAGATAAAACACCTGAAGTTACAGCATGAAACATTATGTTTCTTGTTTGTGTCGTCTTTGAACTATCCCTCAGGGTGACATGAGTAATTCCTTCCTCAGACTTTAAGTAAAGGGGGGAAGGCAAAATTTTGGAGGTGCTATGAAGTCTGATGGTCTTTATCTGTGTGGGAGTGACATTCCTTGTAGATGATAGTGGAGGTTTTATAATCCTGTTCCTATCAGTGATGGATTTCACAGACGACCACTGTCTGCTGTTCACTGCTGTGCTGTTACAGAGGAACCGGATGACAACCGGAGGAGTCTCCCCTTTTCCATTCCCCTTTGTTCCCCAAAGAAGCATATGTCCTCACCACATAATGTGTAATGGCAGCAGTTGGTTCTGGTTTGAATTTAACACATTGACAATGTTTTAGCACATTACATTTAATGGAAAATAAAGATGCTGTGCATATTCTGCAGACATGAAACACAATCAGGATATTCACACTTACAGCTGTTGCATATACAGTAAAAAAAAACACACATGGAAAGTGTGAAATATATTTTTGTGTAATTGTTTATTAGCTAAACCCCTTAGTTACTGTTGCTTTGTCTGCCTCAGCACATGCAGTTTACAATGAGTGCATTTACATGGACATGAATAACTTGTTTATGAAGCTTCTGGTTATGATCATATGAACAGTTGTCTGCTCTGAACGCAAACCACTCTCTCTTTCTCAACCACACACTGCCTACAGGGCTGACACTACTACTGAAAGGAGCTAGGCTATTCTTATAACACTGTCCTCCACACTAGGGCCAGCCTGTTACTCTCACTACCACTGTGTAGGAAAGGAGAGCTATGATAGGCAGCCTCTTTTACTACGTATAAAGGCAAAATTCTGTTTTCTTCCTCGCTTCAGAAGTGAGATGCCTTTGCTGCCATCATCAGCTCCTTTTTAGATAGGAATTGTGCAAATTTGCAGGAAAGCCCAATCAGTCTTCTTTCAGCACTGGCAGTATAAAAACAAAATCAGGGAGTGCGGCAAAATGCCGCCTGCCTACTTTTGTTTATATGGGCAGAATGCACCTTTTTCGGGGCAATGGGGGGCGTGAGCAAGTAACAAAACGTGTAGCTCAGCGTGTGACATAAACAGTGACGTGGGAGGGAAGCCGCGGCTGATCAGTCTTTGGGCGATTCTCTCATAAGTCGGCCCGTTCTTCACCGTCCCCGTCATCTGACGGTTAATGGCCTCTTCGTTTGCGAGGGCAAGGAGGGCGCGCGATTCCTTGTCTGTCAGGTTTGCGTTTCCCTCTTGCTACTAGCTGCTCGCTAATTCCTGCTATCAGCTGTTTCCTGTTAGCCCACCGACAGTGGGACGCACGTGCGGCGTCATCAACAGCTCCTCCCACAAGTCATCAACAGCCCCTCCCATGGCGGAAGACCGTCTCTTTCTGTTTAAACTAAAAGGGTTCCACCAATATGTCTACCCTACGAGGCAGAAAAAATGGGCACTTCGGATCAACTCGCCAATCCGGCTCTGTGTGTCTAAACGCTCGCAGCATGCCGGCAAAACAGCCCAACATTCGCGGAAAATCTGGCAGTGTAAAAGGGGTTGCTCATAATTGGAGCAGATAAACTGTTTAAAAATTCTTAGTAATTTTTGAAACAGTGTAACTATGTGTTCTTTTTGTTGTATGTGGTAACATAATGTGATACTCTGTGTGCCTTTTAATTGCCCCCCAGGGATGAATAAAGTGCTTTGAACTGAATTGAACTGAACCCCACAAACTAATGTAATTAGCTTGGCCTCAGAAGTAACACTTGGTTACTGTTGCTAGTAAACTGCACATGCTAGCAATTGTAGCTTATGTTAGGGCAGATAATCACACCATGCCATCAATTTCTTACACTTTTGTTCTTGTATTTTGGTTTTGG